CAATATTTATAGTTTTACAATAATAATACATATAAATAATAATGAAATTAATATAAAAAATAATGTTACTAAACAAATAATTAGATCAAAATTATTTTCATTCCGAAATTGCTAGTATATTACTGTAATGTGGGGTTTGGTGTTTGGGTTTTGTTTCATGTTCATGTTTTCCATGTCTTTTATTTTGTAATTGTTCATGCTGTCAGTGTCATGCTTCCCTTGCCCTCTTGTCTTCATGCTATTGGTTCCTCTGTTCATTGTGTCATGTTCTGATTGGTTGTCTTAGTCATGTGTCTTGTTTCCTAGTCTTCGTCGTGTATTGATGTTGTAACCCGCTGTCGGTGAGTCTAGTCTGTTATGCCCCGTCAAGTCTGTTCATGCCAAGTCCAGTCTGTTTTAGTCAAGTCTGTTCATGCCTCGTCAAGTCTGTTCTAGTCAAGTCTGTTCATGTCAAGTCATGTCATTTATCGTTTTTTTACATATATACCTCAAATTTGGAACACAGCTTGTTTAGATTTGTGGCTTTGATTGATTTTTTTTTTTTTCCAAACCATCAAACTGTCTCCCAGAGAGAAGCTCTTGTGCAGCGCTCTATGGTAAACATCTGGTGATATGGCCCTAATGTGAAGAGCAGGCCAAACTTGAAAAAGAGCAAACTGTTGCTGAGCAACGGCAGGGAGTGACAATGCTGCTCTTCAGAGTGCACTATATTTCACAGCAAACACAGACACACTGAAAATCCTACCTGCTCTCGCTTCACCTCAGTGTAATACCCCAGTCACGATAGTAAACCTGAAAAGGATACGGCCAGGCACGACCGGCTTTCGGTTGACTAGTGCAAAGGACAACTCCGTCTTCAAAAACACAGCCGAGGACTTTATGATGTGCTGCCCAAAGCGTAACGTAGCCATAGTGGACAATTCCTGTAAGAGCCAGAAACAGAGTTTAAGTCAATTACAATTACACAAACAATTACCAAAACATTTTAATTAACATACATTTTGAAGTAGATTCTCTCTCTCTCTCTCTCCTGTAAAACATACTCCAACCATCTTCATTTTAGTTATAACTTCAATAAAAACATCATTTTGGCATATTTTACTAACATTTAAAGTCATCA